CAGTCAATGGCCTACCATTGGCCTACCATGATGAGTGTCAATGGCCTACCATTGGCCTACCATGATGACTAAATTTGGCTTAGCTTGTCCCAACGTCAGTCACCACTACCGACAACAGACGTCTTCTTCAGGACTACCCTCAGCCCGAAGAACCTGCAGACTACATGATTAAAATATTGGTTTTGGGTTCAAGCCATCAGTCATTAAGATAATGATAGTTATGATGATAATGTTATACTAATGTCGAAAAAGGGCGCATTCAAAAAGTAATAATGATAAAATAATAGCCTAAAGATGACAGTATTAATAATGAGAATTCTAGTAATGATAATAATTAAAGTAATAATAAAAAGGCTTACTTTTGTTCACGAAATTAAAGTCAAATTTTTTGTTGTAATTTTTGCAAAAAAGAGTTGTGCGAATTGCAAATGAATGCGTGGTTTCAAGATCGAGAAAAAAATGACGTAACTTACTCAATGACACAAAGAGAAAATAGAGAAATATACATATTTTTCTGTTTATGGGATATTTTAGGCTGCCTTTCCCAGCCTGAAGGCTTCAGGCGGATGCATAATCAACCTGTTGGATATCCATGCTGACCGGCCCCTTGAAAAGCACTCAGCTTACTCCATTTCAAAGGCTGGTCTGAGCATGTGCACCATGGCCCTTGCAAAGGACTTCGCACCTTTTGTGCGAGTTAATGGTATCAGCCCTGGAGCTATCTTATGGCCCGAGCATATTAACGAAAAATCCTTGGGTTCTAAAGTGACGGAAATTCTGAAGAGGATCCCCCTAAATCGTAAAGGCGAATCTGGGGACATTGCCGAGGCAGTGGACTTCCTTGCGTCCTCAGCAGAGTACATAACTGGACAGATCATCCGAGTGGACGGCGGTAGATCATTGAACCAGTAAAGTTGTGATAAATAACCTGAGCCCTTACGATGTCTATTTTGTATCACTAATATTCTACCCATGTTCTATTGCAAATTATATGATAAGCTGAGTTATATACGAAGGACAGACCCACGCGGCCGATCTTTTACACGTGGTCTCGCCCAAACCGCGGTTTTTACGCAAGCGGTGAGCCTCAGAGTTTCTCTATGAAAGGGCTGTTTAAATTAATTAAATGTTATTCTATTGCTAGTTATCGGTCCTCTTGAAACTGTCAGTCGTAAAAATTCATGTTTTAGATAAAAGATTCAGCTAAACGGAAGGTTGTTTAGAAGGCGGTTTTCTTGAACAACAGCTACTCTTTATTTAAATAAAGTCACCGCTAACAGCATTTTGCTTTTTTTTATCTGATAAACAAATAGATTCCATCTTGCCATAGGTCTGTACAGTTATACATCACTGAAGACATCAAATAATGAAAGGGAAATCAGTGACAAAGTTGGCTGAACTTCCCGGTGTGTCTCTTCATTGTTCTTACCCCATTCTTACGTCATCTTTGACGTGTCACAAAACAGACGCACGGCAACGTGGAACCAATTTGTTAACTATACCCGTTCTTGCTATCTTCTGATTAAAAGACAAAGAAAAACAGACAAATTTCGAGATAAGAAAATCGTTTAAGCACGCGAGAAATTAATTGCTTTAGTTTAGCCATAGGACTGGAAGATATTCAGTGTGGCTTTGCCTTTGAGGGAAAGTTGTTTGAGGGGAAGCATAAATGGGTTTATCTTGAAAGATTATTTCGTACGTCTTTTTCAGCTCGAATAGTGTCTATGTTGTAGTTCCATTTTATCCTTGGTTCAAATTTTATTTTCCTTTGTTCTCGGTCATGTTAATGTATGATAATGAGTTTGAAACAAAAGAAAATAAAATTTGAACCAAGGATAAAATTGAGCTACAACATCTACATCATGAGTAAAACATATCTTCTGGAAAGACATATTGTTATCAGATAACTTATTCCTCAAAAAAAAAAAATCTCATGAAATGTAGATCGTTTGAGATCTGGTCGACGCTGGATGCTATAATTCACAATATATTTGCTGATATCATTCACATCAATCTTACTAATCCCTACAGCGAGTAGACATGTATCGTTTCAAGTTCTGTAGAATAAATCACTTAGCTCCATTAAGTCGTATCTCTTGACTGGCTGCTGCCTCGAGTCTTCTGAACTGCATGATTCCATTTTGAGGACCAGATATTATTCATCGCGGGGCGGAAGAGTATTTTTTCGGGGGAGGGGGGTCACACGATTTTGACGAGGAGTAGTGTGGGGATCAGTCGTCGCCAACAGAGTTCGAAGGAGGGACCATAGAAAATTCACTGTCCATTAACTTCCAATGAGGGGGCAGGGATGGGGGAGAAGGGATCATAATAAGAATATTACAGAGCCTTATTGGGGCAGAGGGGGGGTCAGGTAAATTTTAGCCTGACACCGCCAAAATCCTCTAACACTTTCAATCTCGAATCAAATATCACGCATAGACACCGAAAGCGATAATCTTATTGGATTACCATGAATCTACCCTTCGTTAAAAGCCTAACAAGAAGATAGGCTCACGTATCTATAACGGAATACATGATAATTTGCATAGCAATTAAGTGTGAGGAAACGCCACTAGATTCAAAAGAAAGATAAATAGACTCTATAAGAGCCTTTGTCCGAATTTGCCTCGATCCGAAAATTATATTTTCTTAGTTGTCCTTGCCCCAGTCTTACTCGCCCGAGGGCTATCCTTTGTCTTTTCTTTTTCCTCGGAAAAGTCTGTTACATTGATACACTTCGAAACCGGGTGACCCATTTTTGCAAAACAGTCATCCTACTTTTAGGCCTATTCGGCTTCTTTGGCTTTGCAAGTTCCTTGTGTTTCAGATAAAAGAAGTTGAAATTAGTGACAATCACTGTTGAAGGTATCGCTAAGACACAACAAACTCCGAACACTGCACACAGCGCACTGAAAACTTTTCCCGCCACTGTGACCGGCGTTATGTCACCGTATCCCACCGTAGTCATGGTAACGATAGTGAACCAAAATGTCGCAGGAATACTGGTGAAACTAGTGGCTGACACAGTACTCTCACAGTAATAAATCATCGATGAAAATAGTACGAGGCTGATTGCCACGCAAACTAACAACAGCATTAGTTCTTTAAGACTTGCCTTAATTGTTTTCAAGAACACTTGTAAGCCTAACGAGTAGCGTGTCAGCTTAAAAAGTGAAAAGAAGGTTACGAAAAGAAGTACGCGTTGTAAAGGAATTGTTGAGGTGTCTGACGCTAGACCTTGAATTACAAGCATCATTAGGTGAGGGGCAAAGGATAACATGTCAAAAATACCTTGAGCCGAAATTAAATAAGCCATCCTACTTGTCGCACTGAATGCTCGAAGGGCGTATTCCAGCGTAAACCAGGAAATGCAAAATTTTTCGCTGAAAGACCAGAAAAGTTTGATTTCACGTCGCCGCAATAAAGCTTCCGTTTTGTTCTGGTCACAACATTGTTCTGAAACAAAAGCTTCTTTGAGAGAGGGTGATGTTTTGCCGCAGAGTAAAATAATGAAGAAGATTGTGATGAGTATGGTCCAAACGTCGACAACTTTATGTAAAGAGGATGCTTTGGTAGTCTTGCTTGAATCGAAGAGCTGTCTTATTTTTGAAGAGCACCCTGCTCTGGGCAATGATTCCAATAAACCGTCTCTACTTTCCACGTTGTATCCCAGTTTTCCTTCGGCGTCCTCTCCTAATTCAAAAAACTTAACCTCCTCGAGGAACTTTCCATCGGCTATTCCGTCCGGCTTCACAAGAATCCCACCGGTACTTCCGCCAGATTGGTAGTAGAATAGTATACTGTCAAATACACTACGGTCTGTGCTGATGTAAAATTCGTTTTTCGTCGGGTCATAATGAGGCGTCCGTTTTGATGGCGATCCTAGTAAGGAATCAGGAACTCTTGCAAGTGTGCTTTCGTGGGTTTCGAACCTTGATCCGGAGATATTTATAATTACTCGAGTATTGTCAAAATCATCTCGAGGTAATTTCTTGAGTTTTCTCTCCAGTCTTCTATTGAGAACACTGTCCACACAATTGTTGTTAGCAGCATTTCTTGCTTGGTTCTTTTCCAGAATTGGATCCCCGTAGTCTGTCAGGGCAGTAGCTGACGAAATGGATGTATCATCACTTGTGCCCGAACCTGGACGATTTCGCCCTTGGGCAATTAACTCATCGTCGTTCCTTACCACAGACTCATACTTACGTCGCACTTTCCAAACAGGACTCGATGACATACTCATCAGGAACCGACAACTCCACGAAAGTCTTGCACGTTCTGTGGAATTTCTAGAACACTTTACTACGGGCAGACAATTGGAAATCGACGCACAAAAAAACTCAGATATCGTGTTTTCTTCGCAAATCAAAGCTGCGGGTGAGCAAACAATCTATTTATATCGTGAGAATGTTTCCTTGATCAACCCCTAGATCCTTCGATTTGAGAAAAACTTCCTTGATGTTCAAAATGTTTTCAATCGCCGTATCCTGTCTTCAAAATCACAGGAATACGAATACCCGACAAAATACTTGCATCAAACGAGCATTCAATTTGAGCCACATGGGGTAACTAATCTTTTTTCACTCTTTCGGTAATGTAAATCTGCCCTCCTATTATCCAAGATATGTTCTTCTGTTATACACAACTAGGAGGTGCTCACCCAAACCAGTTGTTGTTCTAAAATAACCAAATCGGACATGAGAATATGGGCTAATAAACGACAGACGAAAGTAGATGTACAGCGTGAAATAATAAGACAGATAATATGTTGTTTACATATTTAGCGGTGTCGGAGAATGACCTCGCTGCCCTTCGTTGATATCAGGGCGTTGATGTCAGTCACGCAAAAGAAAAGAAAATGATGATATAAGTATTCCTAACAGTGGTTGATCAAGTCGGGGGAGGGTGAGAGGGGCTCTGATTAGTTAAGAATTGGCTGATGTCGCTGGCGACCTCAGCTTTAAGGAAAAGTAAAAGAAAAACAAACTCAATACAAGAAACACTAGACATGAATGATGAAAACAAAAGAAAAGAAATGAAATGGAGTATCTTAAATATGGAAATAAAGTCTTGAGTTTATGATATCTCGATTCTCCGCTTCTGGAAGATGTCGATCATGATTACAAACTCATGAATGATTCATCTTAGAGACTTGTACGTGACACATTAGGGACACTAGACTAAAGGAAAGATAAAATAAATCCAGGTCCTCGAGTAAAATGATCTTTTAAGACAACCACCTGGATGAAATTACTAAAAATAATCGATGAATACTTGGTTTACTTTAGACTCTTCGAATCAAAAGTGTTCAGCATAATTCCCAGCTAAAATTATTAGCACTTAAGGCAACTTATAGAAGTCGTCATAAAAAAAAAGTTGTTCAGCTGCATTTGACCAAATCGTTTTAAATGCAAATGACTTGTCTGCGGTCTGATTATGAATATTGTATTCTGAAAGTCTGCTTCTGTTCAAGTAGGCTTTTTCCTTCTTTCGTTGCTCTAATTATCAAGAAATAGCATGTAGTTTATATTCTGAGGGCGAACGATCAAAACCTCCTCCTGAAATGTGTGTCAATCATCTTGAATAATTTAAAACGAACAAGGCAAGGGAGGCAAAATTTGAAATCTCTACCAAGGGGGGAGGGGGGGTGATCCATTGAAAACATCAGACAGAGAGATTTGAACTTTGTTCTTTAATATTATTAACAATTATACCCGTTTTTTTTCGATTCGATCTGAAAGGACGTGCATTTGTACTTACTGTATATCAAACTATCAACTAGTCATTAATCGGTGTTGAATCGAAAAAAGGAAAATGGATAACTTGATTGAAAGGCAAAAGAAGAGTTTTTAATAAAAAAAAAAAAAAAAAATTATCAGCTATCTCAGTGTCGTGACCAAAGTAAAACATTTCTTTGTTTGATGAAGATAATTATCATCGGAACTTTGTAAGCGGGTGACGTTTCGGAGTCGTAATGACGCCGTGTTTAAGTTCAAAAGAAAAGTGGTCTTAAGTACCTCACTGCAGATGAACAAAGTCACGCAAGAGATGTTATCAATTCCCTACTAGAAACATTTCGTGTACTGACCTTTTAAACCTAAAGTCAAAGTACATATTCTCCATACTGTTCTGTGTACATTTCCTATGAAACTTTCAGAGAAAATTCGTCTTAAAACAAACTAAAACGTCTTTATTTGACGATCGTTTCCTTCATTATCATGACCGTAATGTTCAATTTAGGAGTGACACTGAAAAAAAAAACTAGGAGCTTTTCAATGTGTTAGGTTTAAGGGGTAAGTAATCCGACTTATTCGATCTCTTACTACGCTAAAGGAATGTATTTTAATTGGTACCATGACAATGTACATGGAAATGACAATAACAGTGACAATGATGGTGATGATAAAGGTGATGACTTCAATAATGGTGATAAGGGCGCTAGAAGCTTGGATGAAGTAGATTTCTTTCACATTGTGTCGTAAGTGAGTTATTGGTCGTTTATCTCTTGGTCTTCTTTGTCTTCTATAACTGGCATTCCCTCGGGTTCTACAAGCCAAGCAAACTCTGCAAAACGGTTACAAAATTGTGTTAAAGGAAGAAGATATGCGTTTGAATCGAGTGAGTGATAAAGAAAAAAAAAATGCTCTCCTTCTCCAGGCTCATTCGAACCTCAGTTAGAAATTTGGAGATCCTTGTTGAGTTCTCCGAGCAACACGCAGCAAACAATGCAAATTATGGTAAAAAAAAAAGGGGCGGACTTCTCCTTGGTAATGCGACGCGAAAGTAAGCCGGGATTCCCTTGGGTTTTCTTCAGTTTGCATTTAACTGGTCAAAAGAACTCTCCCCATTCTCTCAACCAATCAGAGATACAAGATTTCAAAACTAAAACCAATCGCAAATCGGTTGCCCAGGCTCTACCGTGCTTAAGGTAAACTCAATCTGAGCTCTCAGGGCCCCTCGCTTAATTGACCGTTAAGAGCAGTCACTATTGTGTTAGTGACGCGAATTTAGTCATAATACTCTCCAAACCTAAAACATACAAACGAGGCTCCTACCATCCAGACTAATCTTTCTGTCCTGATGGAGGTTAGCACTTGTTATCAAATCTTTCAGGTCGTCTGCGGAGACTTTCCAATCCATATTTTCCAGAAGTTCTCTTAGCTCAGCTGATTCAATGTATCCTTTGTTCTCCGAGTCAAAAACCCTAAAAGCTTGAATGATGTCTTCTTCTCTCTCCTCAGGTTTTTTCTGCTGTTCCATGAGTTGTATATATTCCTCCATGTTTAATCTACCATCACCTGGTTCAAAGAAAAGAAATGGTGCCAACTCAATATCCATATTTCAGACTATGGTCGCCAACAGTCAATGCAAAAACAAGTAACCTGAGATCGTGCAAAAGCGCACTCGTACTCATTAGCATACTTGCACCTTTCATTTTTGACGAATAGAATTCATGCTGCATTGCCATACACCTGTTCATCAATAGATCATAGGTGACGTCAAAATGCGGTAAGAACAAAGAAGAGGCACAGGAGGCCCAGTCAACTGTGTCACTGATTTTGTTAACACAATTTGATGTGGTAAGGAAATAATGTGGGAGGGGAGGCGAGCCGAGTGTGCCATTGATTCTTGTTTCACATTTACTAAACTGATCTATAATAAGATAGAATCTATTTATTTCATTCACATCACGGTGATGTCATCTATATAGATCATGAGTTAAAACTGTGAACACATGTTACTAATTTCCTATTTACCGTCGTAATCCACGGTGAAAATCATCTGCTGTAAGTCCTCTTCTGTTGGGTTGAATCCTAAGGTTCTCATTATTGAGTTCAGTTCACTTGTGGTAATGTAACCATTATTATCCCTGTCGAACATGTAGAAAGCATCTTTGTATTCTACGAAAAAAGAAAAAGGAGAAATGATGATGTCATCAACCTTTCGTTCCACTAGAATCTGCAATAAAGAATATTTGATTCTTAACTTTAAAGTGTAGCATAAGGATGAAGCTGAAATAGGCCGCGGACGAGGGCATGACAATTTGGGTGCTGTACCAATAAAGAACAAAGCTGGAAAAGTGGACTGAATCTAGTTTTCCGCGATAATTATTTTCCCATAGCGGTACTCTTTGATTGAATGTCGTACAACCAAAAGCAAAGTTATCATAGGGGCTAATTATAGCTAAGAAAACATTTAAAGGAGCCAATCAGAGCAAAGGAAAACACTCCAATGAGCAGATCAGAGCAAAGGAAAACATTTCGAAGAGCCAATTAAAGCAAAGGAAAACTTTTCAAGAAGCCAGTTAAAGCAAAGAAAAACATTTCAAGGGGAGCAATTAGAGCAAAAGAAAACATTTCAAAGAGCCAATTAGAGCTCCAAGTGAAAACGAGCGAGATGACTGAAACGTACGGTAACGTGGGCGAATACAGGTGTAGTGATCAAAGCTATGATTAAATGCTTACCTTGGACTTGCTCTTCAGACAACCCCTCCTGCGAATCACAAGCAGATTAAAACGTTTTTTTTTATTGATAAACGAATCAAATTTGCCAACAAATCTCATTGAAAACAGTTCGAAGTGGGATTTAATGCATCATAAAGCTGATCTAAATAATCAATAGTACCAAAGGTACTGTCTGTGTATTTCAAAATCTTCATAATGAGTTTCCTTTGCGGCGACGAGGCACTTTCTTCTCGTAATATTCTTTAAATATCTTTCACATGGGACTGCACAGTTAATGGTTAAATAGTACACGAGTATGATGGGAATATGGCTCATTCTCTTAAATCGTACCCATACAACACTGGGCCATTTTTGACCCACAAGCAACTGAAAAGCCGAACGATTAAGTATCGCAAATCCCTCCTACAAAGAAAAGCAAAAATAAAATAAAAAACCTTAAGAGAAATGACATTTTACTAGTTTTGATATTATTAACGATGGGGGATGAGTAAACCTTCAGTTAGTTCAGATCAATATTTAAGCAACTTGGGATGTTAAAAGAACAAGTGAAAAGTTTATAAATTACAAGCGGACGCTTTCGATTTACAAACCTCTCGAGAATTCTAGTGGTTCTGGACTCAAGTTCATAGCTAACTAACTCGACAATCTGTGAAATTCCAACACAGAAGTTGGTCGACAATAAAACAAAACTGAATGGTTACCCAGCCAAGCTTTCTACTAACTTGCTTTTAATCCTTTGGAAAACTTATTTTCAGACATGTTAATGAATTATGTTTTTAAACTATTCTGGTTGTGTTTATGCATTGCCAAAGGCGCAAAAGCAAACAAAAGTACAATTAAAAGATGTAACTGTTATTTATTCTACAGTAATTTTGCCAAATCTTACAGCTTTGAATAATGTGCCTGCGCAATTAAAATTCTTGAAAGGTGAAATAAAAACATTCCCTTACTCCAGCACAATTTTAAGTCCTAATTAGCGCCTGCCTGATCCAAATAGTACAACATAGATGCATATCTCATTGTGTTGTCTTAGAGTTCAGGTAGTCACTATTCCTCCACAAAAAGCATCCATTTTTCCGGCAGAATACGAGTAGATCTAGCATCTCTAACGTTCTGTTCAACTAGATGAAATCCCACGCATAACGAAATGGAAAATATCATTGTGAAAAAAGTGCTATAATTGTGTTTATCGTCAAACTGGAAATTTGTTTCAGGCTTTCTGGTCGTCAAGGTGGCGCTTTTGAATAAATCCCTGCGACGTATGTTTTTGACAAATTTAATCGATGGTAGAACGTCCTATCCGTCTTGCCTTATGTAAGTTTTTTTTGTTTTGTTTCTTTTTTATTTTTTTAAGAGTTCGCCACAGACGTTTGAAGAATTCCTGATGTGCTATTGTGACTACTTACAAGCTAAAGTACAGGTAGGCAATGTCAATTTATCAGTGTTGAATAGAATAGCAACCTGCTGAACGAAATTAAAAATTAACAACTAAAAATAAATAAGGCCTTTAAATGCCAAGCACGCAATTACATGCTCATGTTTGGGTTTTTAAACATTAATAACAAATTCTCGTTAAAGGGAAAAATGAAATGTCAAGAATGGAATAATAAATTTCCAATGTGCCAAAATTATAACTACGGAGTGTTTTTCTGTAATAGAAAATAAGAATCTTATGAATCTTCTGAGTTCAAGCTAATTTTACTGCTTCTACAGCTCACGAATTTATAAACACCACAAATCTGGCGTCTTATTGCTTTGTGAAGCAGGTGGCCAGTGTTGTCTGCTATAACCAAGGCGAATTTTTAAAATGGAAATTTAAAGTCGTATTTAATGACTGCTTAAATGTGACTACAGCATCATTTAAAGCCATTCGGTCTTATTCCTACTGATGTGCGAATTTCATTCTTAGAAAAAAAAAAGAAAAGAAAAAATGTTCTAAAAGCTGGTCCAATGTTTGCCGCCTTAAAATATCTGAGCTCCATCGTCAAGCGAACGCTCTCCAAGGTTTAAGGTCAATCATAAAGCTGGTTTCATTTCTTCTTCGCTTGAATTTCTAACGTTATATAACAACGGCGGAAATAACAAAATTACGAACGAATGAAGCTTAGTTAAATAACAGGAATGACATAATTCTTTCATTAACTGCCAAATTTCATGCTTCTTCCCACCATCCTTAAAAGGATACTGAGCAGAGGGACGCTTTCTTGCAAACCAACGACACCTCAAGCTCTGCTCTTACAAAAATATTATACTCATCTCTTTGCGATAGTACCTACCATTTCGCTGCGTTCGCTGATTTTACCTCAGGTAATTCGCAGTTACCAGTTAAAGTTATTCAAATCTTTAAAACGTTTTACAAGAAATGTTAGCTCGGATACAATATTGCGCAACTTAGACTCTCAAGGGAGTTGTTTTTTTTTTTTTTGTTGTGATTGGTCAAAAAGTAAACCCCCGCGTACCCTACCAGACATGCGCAAGAACAGGGAATAAAACATAATATTCCAATTACTGATCTAACTATTTAGTCTTGTTTGTAAAGTATGAATTGATTATGATACTTCTGGAAATAATACTTGAACTAATACTGTTAGCTCCACCTCACCGCCCGTGTTCTTTTAATCTGAAATGTATTTATCTAAAAGTATCATTCCAGTTCGAATATTTCAAAACTAAGGGCGTTAAGTAAAGGAATTCATGGAGCTTAATGCTAAACAACTGGTCGAATGCCCAAGCATCTTTATTTTTCAAAAGCCTGAAAACTTCCTTTTGTCTTTCATTACTATATTTATTTATTGGTTTCTATCTATTGTATTTCGCGCCAGTATGTAAGTGAGTAGATAAAACGTTTTAGCGATAATTGACGAGTTATGACTAAAAGATGAATCAATAAACAAAAATGAGAGAATAATAAACAATTTTATGAATTGATCAAAACTAGATATGAATTAATCTAATTGTACTGGATGACTGCGTACAAAAGAAAAAAAGGAAAAAGAAACTTAATGATCGTTCACTTGCAGAAATAAAATTTTTCTCCCGGGGGTTTTTCTTGATGCGAAAAAACCACTCACCTCTCGACAGAGCCAAATAACGTATACGCATGCACCAGGTTTCGCCTCGGAAACACGAATTTTGAGTCGTTCGCATGGTTGATTTCCTATTCTGTTGCTTCGAGGCGTCGTTTTCCTTGCCGCTTTTCTTTTACAGACCAACCTCCAAAAATTTGGTACACCACCTAAAAAAATTTCAAAAATTAATTTTTTCCTTTAAACCTTTGGAAATAGGAAAGTGCCTTCGACGAAAACAGAGTTCCTCGGTTATAAATGTCAGCCCCTGTTGTTTTCCGCTAATTTCGCTAAATTTTAGACCTAGGACACTTGAGCCCGCGTTGTTGACCGCATACCCTCTGACGTAGCATTTCCTTATTCAGCTCTGTCCTCGCCTCTCTGGATGAAATGAAGATGAGATGAAGACTTCTTATACCTAGATGCCAAGATGCATATTTGCGTTCACGCGGGCTTTCTGTTGGAAAACAGCTTTTTTGTGTGAAGAAAGGGGTAAGTTTCTAAAGAAACTGGTGTAATTGTTTAATTTTTTAAACAATTTTTTAATTTATTTTTAAATATAAACTAGTGAGCTGCACTTCTGCGAAAAGAGGTTGTAAAACTTCTTTTATTTTCCAACGCGTTTCGTCTAACTGTCGTAGACTTCTTCAGGGAGTTTTAAAAGTACAACTAAACGCCTGTATTTATAAGCCAAAGTTACCGGGGCCGATGACCATAAAGGCTTGGCCGGACTTACGAACAAGAACAGGCGAAGTTGTGAAAAATTTAAAACTTATAAGGCAAGGTGAGAAAAATATTTTGGGGGTCAGGGTTTTAGCTGAAACCCTGGCCCCCAAAAACTTACTTGCATAGATTAGTTATTGTCGCAGTTTTCTTGTAACTCACAGTACAATCTAAGTCTGGCGGAATATTACTGATAACCTTCTTAATACGGGCATGACTGCAGTTGAACGTAGTCCTAAAGACAATAGTCATGCTTGGTCGAGATCTATGTAGGGAGAGCCATTTCTCCCTGTCGTGGTAACGCACACCGTGAAGCAGCGGCAGTAAAAACTTAAATGGATAGCCTCTAAGTCGCAGTCGATTCCAAAACTTTTCCCCAGTCTCGGAGAAAGACTTAAAGGAAGAACTGTTTCTTGCATATCTCATAAGCTTCCTTTTTATAAAAAGCTTTCTTGATGCTACAGGGGTGAAACGACTCGAATGGTATGTACAGATATTTGTTAAGAGGCTTCTGAAACGTAGAAAACTGCGGCACGCTTGAGGAATTATCCTCATACAGACAAAGATGTAGAAAAGAAATGCTACTGTCGCTAATACTGTCGGAGGCCCTTACTTCGCGAAGGAGCAAGTTGAGAGCCACTAAGGCTTTTTTGGTGTCTACGTTGGGATATAACGATGCAACATCCGCAGTGACAAGAAAACAGCTTGAGTGAGGCAAGACTGTGCTTTCAAGTAATTGAATAAGATCACCAGAATCCCTTAGGACCGTAGGCAAATGTATTACCACAGGCAGCCCAAGCTCTCTTTGAGAACCACACAAGGAACACAATTTGCATATCAATTTAAAAGGATTTGTATGGGATTTTCTACATGATAGCCATAGAGATCCTAATAAATCGATATTCAAATTGTGTTCCTTGTGTGGTTCTCCAAGAGAGCTTGGGCTGCCTGCGGTATTACGGGCTTAATAAGCTCGTCGAAAAAAATACTAATTGGTCTAGTGATATATGAATGGGAAGCAGCAATTGGTCTCTCCATCATGGGGCCTATATGAACCAGTTATGCATGATGTAAAACTTAGTCGGGTTCATAAAATTATCGGAACTACGCAAAAAGCGAGCAACATCAGCGGAGATAAATCTGCTGTAAATAGACATGAGCCTATCGCGAGAATTAATTACATAAGTACGATTAGTATACCAGTCCTGTTACATGACTTTGCGATATGACAGCTCATCATGCAAATGTCTAAGTGTCTCAGCTTGAAGCCAATCCGTTGACAGAAGAGCTGGTCCAAGGTTTTTATCCGTGGGCAGGATTTTAATGCCAGGATTGGATTTCAACTCATGAAAGTCTTCTCGCTCTTGCTTCGAGAGATTGTTTCTTCAGTGCGGTTTTTCAGCCGCGATGCTCTTTTGTAACTCTTTGCGAAGCGCGAAGAGTTTGTCTTCAAGATCCGGGTTTTCCCTCAAAAGAATCCAGCCAGTCGGAACGTACAATCTGGGATTGAAATCACTGCTTTAAGGTTGTTTGGCAAACTTATCTCGAAGGCGAACTCTTCAACAAAAGTCTTGAATTTGCTGGTCGAACTGAGGAACAGTCGGAGGTCGCAGGGAAGGTCTGAACCTCAGGCCTAGGCCCAGAACCTTAGACTGCCGCTTAGTCAGCTCAACAGAAGTAAAGTTGTGGATTTCCGAGTTTCGTGAAAGCAGATCGAATATTGGTCGGTTGGCCATCTTAAATAACCATTTTTGGAGTGTAGAACGTCTGTCTACTTTACGTGGCCTGAACCTTGGCCTCGGGCGTTTTCTGACGGCGTTCGAGAATTGTTAGAACTCAATCTTGACCTCTAGCGTTGGTTGGCCTCTTGGTGTTCGGGTCGACTTTTCCGTGAGTTAATTGCTGTCGCGCTTGGCATTGATTTTACCATTGCGCTCGGCACCGGTTTTAGTATTTTGCTTTCCACGAGGACCGGAGTGGACGATAGATACCTTGCGATGTCGACTCGTGTCGACTCGGTTTGTTGTGCCAGAGGAAAGACGGAGTTCGTTTAGAACGATCTCTCGGATCGAAGTTTCCGAAGGCACGAAACCCTCGCTAACGTCCATGTTAACAAGACTTTTATGCTTTTCCTTGCGGTCAATCTCCGCTTGAAGAGCTTTAGAAGCTCTAGAGACCGCACTGTCTTTAGAAAGCTCGTCTGTGAAGGCTGAAGCGGCGGCACAGAGGCTGCTAGCTTGATCTTCCGAAACTCGGTTTTCCGGAGCTCAACCTTCCATCGCGCAATCGTCCCTTCGATATTGGCAGAAGTGGAACGAACGGCCTCCTGGTCTTTCACTTGAGCGTGGAGATGATCTATACAGTCGAAACTCGATTATCCGGACTCGTCGGGACCTCGGTAAATAGTCCGGATAATCGAGAGTCCTGATAATCAAAAATATAAATATTGATGAGATAGAAATGTAAAAAAAAAAGGTATACAGTAAAGAAAACATCATTTTAATTGTGATATCTACCCAGCCTGTATGTATTTACAGGTGACGCATCAAAATATTTCTGTCTCGTCCACTTGCGAATTTTGAAAAGCGCACAGGATAATACGCTGTTTCAACAGTCTTTTGAGAGGATTATTGGGCTTTTTGCGACTCACAAGTAGTTAACATTCATGAAAAAAAATTGGGACCAGAGAAGAAAGTCCGGATAATCGAATAGTCCGGATAATCGAATAGTCCGAATAATCGAATAGTCCTGATAATCGAGGTCCGGATAATCGAGGTTCGACTGTAGCAGCTTCCAACAGCTTCAATTCTGCCTCGCGAACAATGTCGTCAAATTTGGCTTGAAGCTCGTCGACATTATGACATTTGGCTTGGATTCGCTTGATCCTAATACCAGATGGAGTAGTGCCTTGGCCTGCGTGGGTCTCTAGCAGTTTGATTCTAGCTTGGAGAGAGGAGTAGGCTTTCTTGGCATCTGCTCGCATTCGAACTGTCCTTCGGAGGATGGTTTCGATAGTGGGGTCGAGTCCGGAGGAACTGCTAACTGGACGTGGTTGCTCTGGATCAAACGGGGCTGAAGATCGGAGGCGCTTTGGTCCGGAGCGACTATCACTAGTTTCGTTCGCCATGTGGCTTCTTCTAGTATTGACTTGAACAATTTTTCACATATAGACTAGTGAGCAGCACTTCTACGAAACAGTAGTTGTAAAACTTCTTTTATTTTCCGACGCGTTCGACTAACTGTCGTAGACTTCTTCAGGGAGTTTTACAAGTGTAACTAAACGCCTGTATTTATAAGCCGCAGTTACGGGGACCGATGACCATAGAGACTTGGCCGGACTCACGAACAGGAACAGGCGAAGTTGTGAAAAATTTAAAACGTGTAAGGCAAGGTGAGAAAAATAGTTTGGGGGCGACGGTTTGTATGATGTTTCTCGATGAAAGGTTCACTCGCAAATGTTCGCTCAGAAAGAGATCTCGCTTGAGGTTCGCAGACCGACATCTTTTAGTGTGGCTCTATGGGTTTATGCGTTTGAGCGTATTATACAGGTGTTGATTTTGCAACGCAAAATCTTCCCTTCTTCCGCCATTACACCATGCCATC